CGCCTTCGTGTCCAGCTGCTTGCGGGGCGCCTTCCCGCCGGTGGACTTGCGAGCAGTCTGCTTGGTACGAGCCATCACGACTTGAAGCTGGAGGAGCAACCACAGGCTCTCCCGCAGCACAACAGCAACTAAAAAGAAGCCGCCACTGGCGCGCAATTTATACACTGCTTCCTCTTCTTTGATTGGGTGTTGTGCTTAGCCAATCACTTGCTGAAATTAAATCTTCCGCGCCCTGCAAGGATTGGACGTGATTTGCAGACGCGCGACCTCATAAGCCCGCCTCCCCCAGCGTACGTTTTTCCGCGATGGATGAGGAGTGTGGAGCGACCAAGTCTTCTAGTTAATCGCCCAATTACAATATTCCGTGTTGGGGCGCGCTTGGCTCGTGCCCCCATTTGTTTAATCCAATCAGAGGAAGGCCGTAGGGCTGCCTTCGGCCCTACCTGGAAAAGAAGGGCCATAAGTGGGATGTTTATATGCACGTAAATTTAATAAATAACTAACTAAAACGTTGACGCGATGCAGTTTCGCACACGCACAGAGCTAAACAATCCTGGGTTTCTAGGAAAAGAAAAGGTGGCTGCGGGGTGAGGCGCCGCCACGGGACTCCAATCGTTTCGGACCTTCGGGTTTGAACCCCCGCCAGCTCTTTTCTCGGCGGGGCTCTGAGACCACCACGGCAGGAAATACGCTACAAGAAAAAATCCTCAAGGATGAGAAGCGGTCTTGGTCTCCAGCCACTGAGTCTGCTTCCACAGCTCGGATGTCCTGATGGGGGCTCGCGTTGTTGGAATCGGCCGGGGGCGTCATTGATTCTGCCCCCCCCCACATCGTCTTGAATTATCTAGTCATTTTATGCATATAGTCTTTACATAGTCTTATTTTTTTTAGGTAATTTAATAGGGATATTTATTTTTTCCTGTTTTTAATGCTTGATTTTAATTGCGAGCCGCCCGGAGTCACCCCCGGGGGGAGATGGGCGGCATATAAGTAAATAACATCCCTGGAGAAAGGCAACGGCGAACCAGCAGCGGAGCTGCAATCCTGGGAGGCTCGTATTCCACGACGTCATCAGGGTCCTTACGCCCGGCTTGGGCTCTTCGTAGCGCGGGGCAGCCCTTCTATTCTATTCCTTTTCTTCATCCTCATCCAGCCTCCGAGTTCCTTGCGCTGAATTAAGCCTTCCAAAGAGCGCGGACTCTGTTTTAAAAAGATCCGCGCTTTCTCCCCGTCGGGGAATCGAACCCCGGTCTCCCGCGTGACAGGCGGGGATACTTACCACTATACAAACGAGGAGGCCGCTGGCAACGCTCCTTCGCCTGCCCTCTTTCAGGACACGGGAAGAGCGGCGACCGAGCCTCTCAAAAACTCTTTTAAGCCTCCGAGAGCCGTTTTCTTAGCCACAAGCACGGAAGCCGTTTTCCGCCGCCTTCTCGCGGGGTATCTTTTGATTTCCCAATCCAGCCTCCAGCCCTGCGTTTCCCAGCCGAGCGCTGGCTTCCCTTAATCGTTTGGCTCTGACTTCCAGCTAAGGCACCATTCGCTGCCCTGCATGGGGCGAAAGGCAATCTCCAGTCCAGAGTCGGGCTCTCTGCCTGGCCAAAAGGCCATGAGAACGGCCCTAGTGCCTTGGCTGGTCCCCTTGCACGCATTGCTTGACATTGGATTTTAGGCTTTTTTTTTTAAAGGCTGAATCGGTTTATCGTTTTTGAGGGCACACCATCAGGTTAAGAATAATTGTCAGGATTGCAATCTGTCTAGCTGGAAATAAGTCCTTAAATTAGAGCAGTGTTTCTCACCCTTGGCATCTTTAAGATATGTGGACTTCAACTCCCAGAATTCCCCACCTGGGGGATTTTGGGTAGTTGAGGCCACATTTCTTAAAGTTGCCCAGGGGGGGGAACAATGAATTAGAGTAAAATCAATTGGAAAGTAAAAAAGGAGAAGGAGAATCATCCCCTTACAAGGCTACAGGTGTATTGTTGCCAACTAAGTCACCAGGAGTTAAATCCAACTTTTAAGCCATCGTGAAACT